CAAAGAATTTTGTTTAAATGTACTATTTCACTATTCACAATTATCTACGTATATAGTGCAGAGAATAATCTAAATCTTCTCTAGCTGTAGCGCTCAATTCGCTATTAGTCACATATGGTTTAGAAAGTGATATTAGACAACTTTTGTGCATCCTAATTGAACATTAGTATTCAACCATGCCTGTGTACCGACTTTATTAGCACCATTTGGTATATGTTGGATGTAAGTATATGCATGCAGGGTTATTCATTCATATTGTTCAACTTACTCATTGGATGGTAAATTGGCTTGTGCAATCCCATTATATGCTTCTTTATCAGCAACGCCGAATCAAATGGGTTCTGCCAGGTACAATCGTATATGTGCCATGTTCGCGCAAAAGTGGCCCATTGCTATAAGTGGAAGCATGTTGTTATTCCTGATTTTACGGTTACACAAATATGCTTACCTGTACACGCTTGGCTATGGACATTTTTACGGATTTTTAGTACAACACTCTAATGAAATTTGCTGTTAAATAACAATTTCCTCACCAATAGCGCAGCTCAGCTGGAGGATGGTGTGCTCAGAGTCGGCGTGTTGCCAGATCTGTACGAGGTAATGTACACAATGAAATAAAATAAGTAAACGGAGAATTTGTGTACGCTTACTGGCTTATACAGGCAATTATGTTTATAATAATAATAGCTAAATATTATTTAATACACAAATTGCTCCCAAATTGGTTTTGAAGCAGAAATTTCAACGAGAAGTAAATGTAAACAATGGGATTTTGGTAAAACTGCGCGCGTTGGTAGCGCTGCAGAGCGTATCAGCTGGCCAAAAATTTACTTAGGATTGTGAAACAATGTCGACTATGACGAACAGTTTATTATCGAGTTTGCGCAAACTTGAAAGTTTTTATTTGGGCTTCTTCGTTTTGGTAATTGCTTTGTTTATGCTACTAACGCCCTATTTCAGATGGCCTACTTAAGTAGAGATTGTTATTTATCTTCCAATATTTTCTATTTAAATATGAGATATGCAACTTTGCGTTTGTACGAAACAACCAAGATTTATTGGTCGGTTGCTTAATAAATCCCACCAAAAAACAATCAGCTGTTTAGCTCAAAATGTAAACAAACAAGCAAATGCACCAACAATTTCAAGGAACAAGCAGCAGTGCCGTCAATTGTTTGGCATATTTAAACAAAGTCGATCTGAAACCCAACGAAACTTAAATGGCATTTAAACTACAATCCATAATTAAACTTAAGTATCATCTAAATATTCATTTGAAATTGGCCATAAAAATAGCAAATTACAAGTTGTGTTTGCTTGGGTTATTCAGCGCAATTTCTCACGGAAATAGTCTAGACCATTCTTTAATTTTATACTACTAGCACGAGTACTTACCAAACGGGGAAAAGTATATTGAAACGAAGTATCTAATATTCACTTAAACAAATATTTAACGCAAAGGCAGATTATTTGAATCAAGTTAAAAGATGCAACACTAATTTGCCAGTGCTACCAAACCGTACTGCCAAATTATCAGTGACACAAACCAAACAGAGCGGATCATAAATTGAACCAGATTTATTTCAAGATCATATCCTTGTTGTTGTATTTGCGTACAAATTTTGTATCCGGATCCCGATGATTGCCGAAAAAACACAGCTATAGCAATCTATTGCCTACGACCAATTTGCTTCCGGCGCCTAGAAACAAGCTCCAATCCATCTGTTGCCATTAGTAACGGCTACGTGGTGCCCACACTGGAATACCTTCCTACATCGATTTTTCGTCGACCTCCTGATTTTGGTGTCAATTAAAAAATGTGTAAACAGAGCAACTGCTCCGACATTGATTTTCATCTGGCTCACAAATGAGAGTGGAGAAGCCAAAGGAATTAGGAACTTGAGAGAATTTTTGCTAAAAACAATCCAATTCGTCGCATTATTTCCTTTTGGTCGTTGGATTAGCTGCACCGCCTTCACGAACAAATGCTATCTATATGAAAACAACAAATAATGTTTAATATTGCAATAATATTTTCTTTTATTATTTTTTCATTAATTTTTGTAATTTTTAAACATTTTCTATGAATACTAAAATTAATTACATGTTAATTATATATAGAATTTTTTATTCATTTGTTATCGTATTTTAGTTTAATTTGTATAAGATTTTTCTTTCCATAGTACCGAAATGCTGTTGGATTTTCAAGCGCTGCTTGCATCCATTGAGAATTGGCAGCGTTTCGCAGCGCCACCGTTATTTTTTATGCCAATTTTCATTTAACTATGNGTTGTTATTACTAATTTCAATCTGCGTAAAGTAACTAAGTTATATTTACAATACATACATACATACATATTTTGCATATGTACATATGTGCATTTTTTTATTAATTTTTATTTCTATAATACATTGGCGTACTCGAGGGGCGAGCACAAAGTTTCTGCTTTTACGTTTGAAAATTTACAAAGTTTTATTTTTTAATGATTCTGAGTTTAGTTGAATGTTTTTTTTTTTTT